AAGGAGATTTCAAGGAGATTTCAAGGAGATTTCAAGGAGATTTCAAGGAGATTTCAAGGAGATTTCAAGGAGATTTCAAGGAGATTTCAAGGAGAGATAATCATTTCTCTAAAACCTGACAAAAGGTTTACAACACTAGCATTACAAGGCATACCTTCTGTCCCCTTTATTTTCCTTACAGGAAATCCTAATATAGATCCCAAGCTTTCAATCCCCTTCCTAAGGAAACATTCTCTGCCTCCAGATGAGGTGCAGAAATTTACTGTAATCACACTGACAATTCTCAGGCTGTTATGAAGACCATCTTTTGCATTATGGCAAAAAAAAAAAACCCACACAAAACACACAGGACAAATTCAGAACTGCATTCCGTTAAGTAGTGCTCAGTAACACAAAAACATCATTTCTTCCACGCAGTTATTATTCTCACCATTAAGCACACACTTACCTTAATATTCAGAAATTTAAAAGCCTTTTAAAGTTACATACAATTTTCAATAAAAATACTACATGGTGACTGCTCTGTCAGGATAACCTAGAGACCAAATAGCTCCTTAAAAGCAAATGGTATTTATTCTGAACAAAGTCATTTTGAAGCACTAAAATCTAATTTAAAATTTTAAAACCCTTCCTCTATGTTCAAAACATTGGTACATTCAGAACCAATATGTCATCTAGACTAGAAGAGTGGTGCTTTCATTAGTCCCATGTCTATTTGAGTCTCAGACTGTCTCACCAAGGGGCTGCTACTCTACAAGTCTTCTGTTGCCTCATTTTTTGAGGAGTCAGGTCATAGCATCCTCTTTTCCCTTTCAAGTGAAGCAGAAGATCAAGCTGACATTTGTACTTCAATATTGTTAGCAATATCTAGCACACATAGTGAAGACAATTTTTATGTGAAAATTAGAGCACATGACCACATATTTCTGCAAATCATGCTGCAAAAGCACAATTAAAGCTGTTAGGTATCTTATGTAATAAGTAGGACCTTAACTCCACATTTCCCTGCAGTGAGTGGGGAGCAACAGGGAGGTTTCATGTCAGCTGTGTAACAGCCACAGAGGTGATCCTCTGCCCTGACACGTGCTGCAGCTTCCCTTGCCCTGAGCAGCCTGCCCGGCCCTGGGCTGGATACACATGGAGCCCTTTCAGTGGCAATAAGTTTAACTGCCAAGTAAAGCCCTATCCTACACCGAAGTTTCTTCTTGCTGTTCTAGACGTTAAGTCTCCATTTAGAAAACAAGGTGATCTTTAAGATGTTATATAATCAGAAGATTAACCTCCTCTGTACTGTACTGCATATCTGATTCTACAAAGCTGGACATTTAACTCTTCAGCATTTTTAAACAACCTCTGAGAATTTTATCAACTAAGTCTAAACATAGAGCCCTTGAATGCTCAAAAGCCTTTAGGCACCCACTGCTGATTTCAGTAACAGACCAGAATTGCAACAACTTTGCAGAGCTTCAGATCCTAATTCCTGCTAAATGCCCGAACACTATTCTAGAAAGAAATACAGAAAACCCTAAAACTCATTGATAAATGGCCTGTTTTTACTGTGCGTGCACCTATCGCACTGAAAAGGACATAAGCTCCAGGTAGATCAATATCTCATTCCTAAAACATGCATTTTCTACAAATACAGATCAGTATTACTAACCAGATTAGAACTGATACAGATTTACTAGACAGGGCTAAGTAATAAAAATCCATCCCAGCTATGTTGCTAATATATTAATAGAACTTGATTACATACATAAAGCATATTCAAATACTTTTGGCTGTGAGCAGTAAAGAGGCTACCCTTGCTTCCTCTCATTACTCTTATTATAGTAGGGTTTTTTGGCATGAATTTCATAATGAATTAACTCCATTTGTAAAAAGAAAAGTAGTAACAACTCTGGTAATAGGAACAAAACTTAGATTTCCACGGTCTCTACTTGGAGCACTCTTCTGACATTCACTAACTATGGAAGAAAACAAATTTCTAGTGAAATTGAAAAGGACTCTTCCAAAAAGGCGGAAAATTTAAGACATTGCCAAGTGTTTTTGAGCAGCTGATACAGCTGGATCAGAACAGTCTTCTCCACAGGTGCCAGTGTACTGTGACCAAGCCTTAGACCCCAGCTCTGGCACTGACAGCCACTCCTGGCACTGACACTGCCAGCTCAGAATGCCAGATGGTGGCAAGAAGCTGCCTCTATCCTGGCAAAACTGAACTAAGCTGCGAATGGATTGTGAAGAGCTTTCTGCTAGAATTTTCTGACCATATAACAAAATAATAAAAGAATTAACTCACTATAAAGGCTAGAAATAAAGTTTTCATTCTTTGGGGGAAGGGAAGGGCAAAAAAGGAATTACCAAAAAATCATTATCATTTTATATACTATAAATTTGGAACAACTGAACTTTTACTCGATAAAATTTAGTTTTATGAGTAACCCAGCACAAAAGACAGTAATAAAAACCTTTAGTACCAAAACTCAAGTACAGCAGGGGTCTTTAATCTCAGCAGATCAGTGGCACTCAACAGCAAGCACCTTTTTGTGGGATATCATAATGTACATGTTTTTACAGAAATAAAGACCGAGGAATAATTTTGTCATTACTGAATAATCCCCCAAATAACAGCTGTGTTGGTCATGTGTCACTGAAGACACATGCATAACTTGAAAGCTTTGAACAGAACCACAAAAAGTAGTCAAGATATTCCCTTCTCAAGCCTTTTCTTCAAAGTGTCTCAACCCTCCGAACAGGCAAACTTTTCAATGCACTAAGAACTGCAGGGGATATATGGCACAAAATCACCAAGCTTTTTTTCCAAAAACTCCAAGAGACCAAGTCCACACATCGCATTAACTAAAAAGAGAAGGTTGGTAAATCAGGAATACATTTGTTTATCTGATAATCTTACATTAATATTTTGCACAGGGAATAATGTTGAATTTACACAGGATTACACATATAAAAGACGAAAGATCACCTAGCACTGGAGGAACCATACAGATCTTTCAATTTATTATTAAAATATTAATGTCTGAATAAAGATCAAACTTTTTGACATTTCATCAAAAAACAAATTAATGCTCTAGTAACTAGAAAAACATGTAAGGCTTAACTAGATTTGTCTAATTTAAATCAGTTTTTGCCAACCGTGCTCTCACAAGGATTGGTTAACAACTGAACACTTCAAAGAAATATCTGGTTAGACAAGAAACAGGGAATAGTGAGAGGTGTGGAAAAGTATTCTTCATTCCTATTGAAAAAATCCACCACCTTTTCCAGCATAGAATCACTATAAATGTTTGTTACACACTCTCTGTACAAACAGGTATTTTTACCTCATGGAGCCAAGTGATTAAAATGATGGGGCCTTATTATCAGGCCTCCAAAATATGGCATTAATACATCTTAAAAATGACCACTGCTTATTTTCTTCTTACTACTCCTTGCCTTCTACCTGTCTATTCCCTTCTCATACCTTAAAGATTGGCATGACAAAACCAAGAAAGATATTTAGATATTAATCAACACTGACCTATGCTGAAGCACATGCAGGGTTTTCTCCCTAACACACAGGGTGCTTTTCCTTGAAGTTTTATCTGTCTGTTGTTGTATTACGTGGCATTCATGCACGGGTCTGAACCAATTTTTACATTAAGGGTAAAGAAATAAGCTTGGCAATCACTTTATAGTAAAGAGCACTTTTTAATATATTCTTACACTTCTAGAACTACAAAAAGAATCCGAGCCTGTTATTTAGGCCAAGTGTTTGAAAAAAATGCATATACGAACAGCTAGACGTCACAGCTATGTGCCTTTTTACAAAATTAGCTACAAGAACTAGATGCTTTAACCAAAACTTAAAATATATCAGTATACTTCGAAAGTGCAGAGAATTTAATTCTATCTTCCAGTATGATATATGCAAAGAATTCTCACATCAAGTTACACTGCTGTGCATGAGTGGATTTTTAAAAGACACCGTATGTACCCAGATATTTTTCTTTTTCTTGCCTGTTTTTACTTGTTAACCTGTGGAAACTCAGGGAAATTGCTCTTGACAGATTTAAATCACAGCAGACAGTCTCAATTTTTGCTCTATTACTTCAAAAGAACAATTTGTTTACAGGTGCTACAGAAGCATTTTGCAGGTTTGCAATGCTTGTTTGCTTTTAGCTTTTGAGTGAAACATTTCTGCAAAAATAAAAGCTCCCCAGGATGAGCAATAAACTGCATATCCAACTGGCTAATCTGCTTTGGGTGATCTATAATATATAGCACTTACCTGGACTGTACAAACACCAGCTAAAAATTGAGTAAAGACACAGATACAAAAGTGCCATTAAGTATATAAAAGACATGCAAAGCCAAGCTGTCAGCTTGAAGGTGAAAGTTTAACATATTATCTCAACATATTTTGACCTGCATTATGAGTTATAAAATTCTAGACTTGCAAATTTCTGTAACTCCTTTAATTCAGTATCTTAGCTGAAAGATCTTACAGCACTAAGAGTAGAAATAGGAATTGTAGGAATAACTAATATGTAAAGGAGGAACAGAAGAACAGAGAAACACTCTTAGATATCATGGCCAAGTCAAAAAAAATCATCCTGTGCTTCTTCCCAGCTTTAAAAGATCCTGGCCAAGCTCCACTGCATTAAAGTAGGCTGCATCTATCAAAAACAAATGCTTCTGCAATGTTATATGTAAATATTCCTCATGTCAAACAACTGTTATGTGCTGCAGAGCCTACACTCTTTAGCAAGGGTGTTTCACATAAGCAATTGCATTTAGAATAGTCTTGATCTACCTTCACCGTTTAAATATCAGTCCACTAGATGGTTTGTGTTCCACAGGTACAAAAAAACCCTCTGGATATAAATGGTTACAGGGCAGTTTCCAGCAGGATTGCTGCCACGAGGGAACGCCAGTCCCTTGCCCTGGGGAGGCAGAACAGTTGTTACTTGCCAGCAATGGAGATGTTATCATTTGACAGTTGTTCAGCAGTCTAATATAGAACAAGCTGGTGCTAAGGTCAAAGTCTGACGCTGAGGTAGCAGGGAAAAACACCGGCCTCAAAGAACCTTTCTGGGACAATGCAGCTACTTCAAGACCCATGACACTTCTCCTGAGGACTGATGAAATGATAAATTTTCAGTAGTCTGTCAGATCAGTCTCCTTGCTGACAGATTTCACTTCGGGCCTTGCATGCAAGTACAAAGACAAGATCAACAAATGAACTCTTATGCAGTAACTAGTTTTAGACAGGACCAAGACCAGTCAGATCTGGATTTGAAAAAGAAATGCAATTATGAAAAGTCTATATCTTCATAATATGTGACACTCCAATGAAAATTAATTAGATTTTACAGTGAAATAATGTGATTTTCTATTCCTAAGCGGTTTGTAATACACCCTTAGCATTTTATTTCATTTCATATCCTTAGTATATTCAAACAAAAACAATTAAAACTATTTTTACTTCCAAAGGCAAGTGGTGTTTGAATATTTAAGGCAAACAATGAGCAGCACATGTTTCTGTCAGGGTTCTTATAGTATGTTAGAGATTCATTACCATGAAAACTAAACACTGTTGTTAAATTTCATTTTTCTTGAAGTGATGTTTACATATGCAAAGACTTTGTTTAAATATTGGAAAAGAAGATTTAAATACCAAAAAACTTTAACCTAATATACAGAAGTTAAATTAAGTGCTGCAGTGAGTGAGCACCTGAGCCCTTTCTTCCATACTTGCAGGGATTAAGTGCTTGCTTCATATTTCAATCACACTTTAGTAATTCAAAAGGGATCCAGTTTTATGCATGAATTCAAACTACACTAAGATTGAAAACCAAAATAACAATTAATATTAACTATGGCCTCAGTCATTTTACATTAACCTTTCATTTGCAAGTATACCATGCCATACCTTCACCTGGTGCTTCTCCTTTAAACCACCTCCATGCACATCAACCCAAATAAACTACTCAACTTCGTATTCCAAGTGCTTCTTCCGGAAACCTTTTCTTTTCAAATACTTTTAATACTGTGATTATTTCTCCATTCCAAATATATTTGTCACTCACTTCATTTTGGTTTGCAATTGACAGTTAACTGCAATGTATGCCTATATTACATCAATTCCCCAAATTAGCCAAGCAGATCATTGCTTTGTTGTATTAGAAACTAGACTTGAAAATGGACATAACAATTTTGCACATCTCCTGAGAAAAAGACTTGTGGGTCCCACCAACATCAAGAACCTAAAATGAAGCAAGTGTCACTAGAGACCTATTTAACTAAGCACAATTTCATCTCCTAGCTACCAGATTCCAACCTATACAATACCAGAAATGATAAAAGACACAATGTGTAATCTTGGTCACCAAAAGAGTTGAATGAAATGTAAAATAGTTTAGTATCAATAACTGCAATAATCAAAACACTACCTGTAAAGCACAGTAGCAGGAGATCGCTTTCTGTATTACCCAAATATTGACAGGTAAAGAACAATTATTCACAAACATATCTTAGGATACTGAAAACATTTTTATCAAGATGCAGTTCTACAAGGCTGCAGTAAAGTCCAGGCAGGAAGCTAACAAAAAAGATAAAATCCACAACGTATTATTTTAACATAGGATCCACAGCATATTATTCATGGCAGTCATGACAAACAGTTCATGGACAGTCTTCTCAGGCATTATCCTTTATCAGAAGGAAGGAAATACCTGGGAATAATGCATTTAGCAAATGGAAAAAAACGTGACTTGTAGGAAAAAGTTGCCCACCGCATACTTAATTTTAGACTGCATAACCACAGCAAAATCCCATATTTGAATATACTTTTTGATATCTTCTTTCTGGAGCTACTCCAGCTTTCTAATCCTTTGATTAAATAAACATATCATGGCCTCTGCTGGACTCATTTGTGAACCTTAAAATCTGCAGAAGCAGAAATGCTTGCCAGATTCAGGCAACTACAAGTGCTCATGAATTTCAAAGACCAACCAACTCAGACAGGCAAACTATCTGTGCCACTTTGTGCTCCAGGGTTGAAGCATAATTCCACTGAAGTTTACTGAAAAAGTTACAGGGGCTTCAGTAGAAATAGGAGCAAACAACAGGACTCCACAAACTGAGAAATATTCTTCTGTTTTACAAATCAAAGTGAAAGCCAGAGACATCAATGACAGTCTAAGAGAGAAGTCTCTAACTGCTGGAGCGGGAAAAGGCAAAGCAGGATAGCAAGTGCCTCAAATATTCAGATACTAAGAGGCAGGGAAAGCGGATAGGGTTATTTCCAATATGCAGCGAGAAGACAGCCATAGAAAACACCAGAAAAGGGCTCTTTATTTGGAGGTTCAAGTCAATGAAGAGATGAAAACAAATCAAATATTACGGATGTCAGTAGGGAGGTCCATTGCTCATATCACACACAAAAAGTCTTCACAGAAATACACACAGAAAATAAACCATAGGCATATTCCTTTGATGACAAAGGAAAAAATGAAGCAGATTTTTAAAACATTCACATAAACAAAAGCTTATTTTTTTCTGAAGAACAATTTTAACAGTTGCTTCAAAGCAAGCAAGAACACACACATGGAGATTTTTAGGGTCCAAAAGCAAATCTAGATATTAGAACACACTGATTTTTTGGAATGATATTAAAAACTTTTATATTTCCCAAGTATAACTTCTAAAAAGTAGATTACAGAAGTGTAGAAAAACCTTTCAACAATAAGAAAATTATCAGAAATTAATGTTAATTTTAGACAGTAAGATCACAGCCTGCAAATCAAATCAACACCTTATATTCAACCTGATATATTTAACAACTTGTACTATTAAAGAATGACTTTTTTGCCTTTAGTGTACCAAATATCTTTTATATAGATTGAAATGCTTAAAACTGATAGGTTGAAATGCTTAAAAATTTAAGTACTATGAAATAGATCAGGATTTCTCCAAAGCTGCAGAAGAAAAAAGAAAAGACAGCTAGTGCTCTTCCTCTGGAGCTTTTTGCTTGTAGCTTGCTAGCTTAGGGTACTTCAGCTCGTGAGAACTACTATTATTACCTGAAAAAAATAGCCTTTGATGCAAACTTACCTTAACATTAAAAAAAACCCAAACACCACACACTTATCTACTTGCTCTACGTACTTCTACATATGAATGCTTTAGGTATTGATGAACTACCACAGCTTAATAAATATTTTAAATCTTTTTCAGACTAAATAGCAAAAAAACAGCAAAGGAAGCTACATACCTTCAGACATCTCCTGCCCTTCATTAGTATCTCTTGCCCTTTCTCACTGAATCTTTGACTGGATCATAGGAGGAGCTTTTGGTATCAAGAGTTCTGCGTTGCCTGGCTTCCTGAAGAGCTTTCTGGGTGGGACCTTCCAGGCCTTTCTTCGTTTCAAGTTCCTGGCCTGCTATAAAATATATAGATAGAGCATAAGCCTCTTAATACTACCTGGAGATGAAAACAATCAAAATGATACCACAAGGAAATAGCAGGTTACTGAGCTATACATGTAACTTATTCCAAGACCGTGTACAACTGCTCTCCACAAGCTATTTTTGTGTGATCTGCTAGAACAGAACACTTGATGAACACTTTATTTAACAGGATAGTAGTGTATATATAGTATATAATAGTGGGTATATATACACACATATAGAACATAGGCTTTAGACTATAGACTTAAGTCTCAGATTGCAAAATATTGTTTATGTTTTGTATCAGGCTAAAGTATATATCTGACTAAAGCAAATGAGACCTTACACTACACATCTGTAAGCGCTCACTCCTTTAGAATAAAGTTAGGACCTGGGCCACAAAATACAAACTTAAAATCACCAATTTAACAAGCACACTTGTTAAATTGGTGCAACTGTGCAACTTAAATGAAAATTATAATAGAGAACTGTGCCTGGTCTAACACATTATGTTTATTCTCATTGTTAAAAAGAGTTTAAAGCTGCTGTTGCAGACACCCTAAGTAACTTTTTCTATGCTGAAGAACTGCACACTGCAAAACCGTTTATGTCAAATACCTTCTCCTCAGTAACTGCTAGCTGCAGAACACCAAGTTTGAGCTTTATACTTACAAGCCATCACTGTCACAGCTGAAAAGGTTAAAAAGCCCAAACTATTCCAAAAGAGACTGAATCATAAAACACTGTTGTGACTGCACAAAGATGTCAACAGCTTGTGTTTTCAGATTTTTCTATTCTGGTTGCATCGTAGCTGGAATGGGATCAACTAAGCTTAAACACTAGAACTGGTGCCTTCCAGATATCATGTGGCATGACCTTCTGAGAGCAATTACATCAGATCAAGGAAACGTAAAGGAGAGCTAACAGGCTTTAGCAAGGAGTTAATTCAGCCATGGGGAGAGAAATTCACTGGGTTCAGCTTTCAAATATGACTTGGTAATAAATAAGCAGCTGTTTGTAGAGAATAAATGTACCGAGTAACAATTTGTATGTTAGAAATATGTTTTGACAGTCAGTTGTTATATCAGTGCTCAGGTATGCAAGTAAACCACAAAATTACTTGACTCCTCCAAGCAAAAGTGGTCTTTCAGAGCACTAATTAACAGTGTCTTACTTCATAAGCTAAGATGTAAATTAAATGCTTGGTTGGTATAAACCAGGAATCTAAAAACAAAATTGTGAATTGTCTTTGATAACATGCCTCTAGGTATGATCCTGCTACTGCTTCAGGTAGAATGAGATGAACATTTTCATACATAAGCACCCAATCCTTTATAAACCTGATAAAGAAGAAAAAGGATGTGCTGGACCTCATTATCCCTATTGAAAACCCCAGGCTGCTGAGCAAACTCAAAGCTAAAGCCACTTGCAATGCCTCGCAGCCAGACCCAGTGCAGTGGGACCTGCGGCCTGGTGAGGGTGAGAGGAGAAGCAGCAGTGACAGCAGCAACAGGGAGTCTCCTGCTCTCAGCAGCTCCTGGGCACACAGGCATTCATTTGCTTCCCTGCTCTGTGAAAGCAGATAGCCAACCAGAAAAGGCATCTTTCTTTGGCAAATAACAACTTGCCAATCTGGATGCTTGTTATCTTTTAATGTACTCATGTATGAAACTAAGATGGTGAGTCCTGAGACAAGGGCAGCTGAAGCAAGGGTGGCTTGCAGGCCTTTTAAGTCTGTAGCTCAGAAGAACCAGTGTCGAACTTAAATTTACAGAGAAATGTAGCAAACATTTCTCCCGTGTTTATGCACTGCTTGTTTCCCAAGGTTTCAATTATCTTGTCTCCTGAATAAGAAACCGAGAGGCAACAAAACATGACCATCTTTCAAGAGGCAGCAGAAAGTACCTGACGAAGAGACAGTATCACCCACAGACACATGAGTATGACCTATGGAGCACAATAAAAATTATGCAGTATGAGAGGACATGGCGCTATAAAGAAATGAACTGAAATATCACTTGATTTGTGATACACATGGCATGAGGGAAATTAAGGCTTGTCTAAGCACATGGGTGGCTGATGAGCTTAATAATTTGCTCTGGAGACTTTAAGTGATTTTCTTTTTTTTTATTTATTTATAAGTGCTCCCCTGCTTGTCACTTTTTGGTATTATAAAGTGTTCTCAAGGTTTTTGGAGAATAAACAAGTACTGAGAACAGCCGGAGAGTGCTTTTTTGAATCACTCAAACACCAAATGAAAGTATGTGTAATATGAAAAGGAGACAGATGGGGCATCTATAATGTAAAACACTAGCACAGAGGAAGCACCCACACTATATATCTCCAAGCCAGAGCATAATGAAAAGCTGAATGCAATATGTCCTTCTCCTAGACTAGTGTAAAATAAAAAGCCCATTCTCTACCTTCTTGTCTGCAGCATGAAGAAAGCAAGCACTGTGCTCTTGACTAGAGCAGAGGTTTTCATGTTTTGCTGTAACAAGACCTGTACCACAACAGAGCATTACTTGTAGGCCCAGCCAAAAACAATGTGTTTTGGGGCACTGAAGTGTGCCTGGCTATAGAACATGATGCTAATTTATAGAAACAGGCAGAATGCAAAACCACAATGAAGACTGAAGAGACTAAATGATAGCTGTACTTTAATACTTCACTGTATTTAGCTCCGAAAGTACAAATAGCAGGTGTCATATTGAATCAGTAGCTTCATTTTTGTACATAAAATGAAAATCAGAGCTTATTTTCTGCCGGGCAGGACTTTACAGGTATTCCACCTCCTTAAAGATTTAGAGCAGCTATGCTCTTAACCAAAATACCCCACATCCTCCAAGAGAGGCAGGGTTTGCTGTAGCATATACTGAACTTGTTTTGAGACTGCCAAGGAAAATGAGCACCAAAGTCAAAAGACATCTCAGCCATCGAAGCTTCCACTGCTGCGTGGTAGCAAAGACGACCAGCATCTTTCAGACGATTACAACTCAATTATATCAACTACATGTACATTAGTAATAGGCAAGCAGCTGCAGACATCTGAATGTCTTAAGTCATTCTAATAGCCAGGAAAATGCTATTTATTTTGCTCAACTACAGATAGTAAAACACTTATTTGATTGGCTATTCATTTCCTTCCTGGTCCTGCCTTTTATACAGCAATTTTATACGATGAAAGTAAATCCAGGAAATGTGGGATCTAATCAAGTTTGTCAAAAGTTTGGGTTACTCGGTGGCTTTTCATCTGAGCGTTCTGCTATTGGTATGGAACTTTTGGCCTTTCAGTTTTTCTCATGTGCTTTTCCCAGCATATTGAAGTACCCTAACTGCAAGAAATCTCATCTGAAACTTGTGTGATATTAGATACCTGCCTGGTCACCTGTGAAATGTAACCAAAATTAGGAAACAGGTTCAAAATCATTAGTAGGATGCACAGTGTGGCAGCATGAGCTTCATTTACTTCAGAAATGATGCATGCATTGCGGGGGTTGTGCTGACAGTGCAAGCTCCTGACAATAGTTTCATAATTACACATGCATTCAGCACACCAGGGAGTAGTGTCATGCCACAGAGAAAAAGGCCATGCCTAAGAGCATAAGTGCACAATAGAAGAAAATCAGGCACCAAACAGGTTTTGAGGATAAAGTCCTTCCACCCTTACTCATGCATTTCATATTGTCATAACCAACTCACCCATGGACATATAGATATGTGGATATATGTCAGAGTAAATATTCAGAATTTAAGAATATTTTACCTTTTGTCACAGGATTCTGAATGGTATGTCCAGACTCTAAATTTTGTAGCGCAGCTTGTAAACCTGTAATCTAAAATTAAAAAAAAAAGAGACAGTATGAACATGTTGCCTTTTACTGTCTATTCACAACACACTTGTGTGTACATTTAAGTACAAGGATTTACATATAATTATTCCATGTCCTGATCATTATTTCTAATTGAGTTGCAAATATTCCTAACGCTAGATTTTAGAAATACCCAGTAAAACCATGGGATAAAAAAAGCCATCTAGAATTTCTCAAGAATACTTTTACAGCTCTGAAAACAATGCAGATATTGTGCTATCAGCTTTTAGTACTGTTACCACTGACTTAATCCTTAGCTCAGTAGTAATGACATATAGTTCTGTGCTCATAAAATGCCAAAAAGTATAGTACTATAAGTTACAGAACAGCTCTCATTCCAGAACACTTATAGTTCATAACTAGGTAGATCTTACATAAGTTCCCAAAATTTCATAGTATGGAAACAACTTTGAAAGCTGTTTTATGTTTTTCATTCTTGATTCAGCCTAAGTCTATATGGACAGTAACCTCTTTTTCTCTAGGACATTTTCTTTCACTTATTTCAATATCAAACATATACTCCTCAGTCTTTTCAAAGTAAGCCCTCGGGTGACCTAAGCAAAATTGGAGGCGGAGGAAAGAAAGAATTGAGAGATGAGAGCTATTAAATAAGAGAGAGAACAGGCTCAATTCCTTTCATGTTACCCACATAAAGCTGGCACAACTACTGAAATGCAATGCATTTGGTAAGATTTTTTTTTTTTTTAAACAAATAACCTATTGGTTAAACACATGAAAGCCAGTTTTCTGTTCTTCATCCATCCAATCTCTGCTTAGAGTACTTTCTGCTAGAGGGGCAGAATGGCACATACGGCAACCTATACATCAGGTAGGTTTTGCTCTTATAATCTTACTCTGCTCACAAGATAGAAAAGCTGTGCCTGCACCTAACAGTTTTAGAAAGGTAATACAAAGATCATTCCTGGTTATCTTTAGGAAAAGGCTTCAGAAAAACAGTAATAAATGTTCTAATCAACCAGCTTCTACAGGTATAGGTGGACATGTATTAATTCACAGGAATATCACAACTTTCCTTGAGCTGCTAACACTGATAGCTGTATGAAAATCTGCACATCACCTGATGAGTGTCACTCTGCCCAAGTCAAAGGCTGAGTACTGTCATCTTGATAAAATTTTCACAATAAAGTTTTATAAAGTAACAAAAAGCCAACTAAAGTGTTCTGCTGAAAACTATAGCATAGGGATTGAATTGTTTTATGAGGAGTTACTTGTTTCTTCAACAAAGCATTTAACAAAAACATTCCATATGGCTTAGCAGGTGTTGTTCACCATAATTTTACCTGCCCAACTGCTCTGTCTCTCTCCAAACTAGTCAACATTTTCTGTCTCAGGGTAGTTTGATATTTTTCAGTCAGCTGCTTCAGCACTGGTTCATATGATGCATAATGCGCCTTCAGCCTATGAACAAAAAAAGAAGAAATGCTTCTTTAAACATGAGTTAAATTTATCTGTGTAACCTTTATTTTTTTATCTAGTATTCAGGAAAAAAATGCCAAAAGATTAATACATAGAAAAAAAAAAAGCTAGTATGTAGTCATGTAACTGGAGAGCTGAGAGAGAATTCAGCAGTAAATGAAATCAGTTTCTTCAGTTTTTAAAACAGGCCATTCGGTTTTGGTTTAAGTTCTCATCCTTCATTTCTCCATCCATCACATGCATAATACACAGTAATTCTTGGTAATCTGTTTTCTTCTGGCAGATGGATGATACTGCATTGAAAGAAAGATTTATAATTATCTGACTACCAACTAGGATCCTAATCTAGGAAAAAGATGTAATCTTTTTCTTGACGGCACATTCAGAACACCTAGAGGCTAATTCTCCAAACCAACCCAAACTCGGGTTTTCTGCAGCATCTTTCAAGACAAACTAATCTGTACAGGAATACTTAAAAACTTCAACCACACTGTATCTGCAAAAGATACACGAGTGCTCTTGCATTGATACATGCAGATTTTAGAGGAAAATATATAGATTATAGAACTACTAAATGCACGAGCTGATAATATTAGCAAGCCAAAATTCTGGAAACTGGTTGAGCTGCAGACATAAGCTGCTGCCTAGGTTTATTTTGTAGCTGCTCCTAGCATAAAGTTATGCAAAGGAGAGAGACGATCAAGAGATTCACTTTTATCTTGCCCAGTGATCTTTAGATGGGCAATCCGCAAGTTCTGCTTACGAGGGAAAGGTACAATACTTAGAAAAGTCAGAATATAAAAGTGACAACATTTTTAGAATGTATTTTACAAATTTTAAATACCAATTAGCTAGTTGGATCTTAATTTCACCAAAAGCATAAAAGCAAATTAACCAGAACAAGTCCAAAATGTGGAAGTACAGGAAGCACCACTTACAGGAATCACAATTATTAAGTTTCTGAACTCAGTAGGATATAAGTTAGCATTGTAACTGATAGATATCTAAACCCAAAAGTCAATTAGGGCTGAAGATACTAAAGAGTTGGGTGAAAAAAGTGATCCATGTTTTCGGCTGAGATACTATATACTATAGTAATATATTACCACATTCAAAGCATGAAAAATACAGAAATCATTTAGAAGTATTTCAGGGACAGTCATGTGGAGCTAACAATTATGAAGCTAGCTTTATTTCAGTACTTCACATTTGTTCTGAGGCAACAACTCAGGGTATCTTTATTTTCACAAGTGGCAATAAAAATCAGTTTTTACCTTTTTATGTCACAAATAAGTTTGTTTTTCTCTTGAACCACTCGCTTATGATGCATTCGATGAAAATCCCGTTCTTTCTGCATTTTTAGGAGAGCTTCTTTGGCTTTGCTAACACAAACAGAAAATGCAAGAGAATATTATTTGTCTTTCCCCACTAGATGCTCTTCAACATATGTTATATATACAGTATCCCCTTACAGATATGCATATATCTCCTGCATCAAAGTTAGAGATTTTTGGTAGTATTCCCTGTAGTAGACAAGTACTTTTGAGGTCTTTTTGCTACTAACTCACAAAGAGAGTAGGTATTTTTCACATTACCTTTCCTCAGTTCCTTTGCGCAGATTTCAGAGGGCTTTTGGCATTATACATCTCAAGACAGCTGAGATGGTCAATCATTTTAGACCTAAGTGAATCTTGTGGAAGTACCTATTCAAACTACAGTTTACTAGAAAATATTTGCTGAAGATTTAAGTTTTACTGAAAAAGTTTTGCAAAACTGAGTTTCCAAAGTCTACATCTAGCATTGTCACATGATGGAATATGACACAGATGGACAACCCTATGATTGCCCTGTAAACATGTACCTAGAGAGCTTCTGGGAAGAATAAACACAATAAAAAATTCCACGTCTAGTTAGATCAAGCTGGCAGCTTGTCCCCAGGTGTTACCTTTAACATTTGACAGCAGGATGAAAAGGACACTATTTCAAAGTTCACTCCAAAGTCACTGGTTACCTATTGTTTTCTAAGCATTTTCCACACAAAGCTAAAGGACACTGAGATACTCTATCTTAAATCCGGCATATGTTTAACACACAGATTTTCCTTCCTTTGACTTACACAGGTTTGGAAAGAACCATCAGTAAAAGAATGGTTCTGTTAAAGGATACTTACAATTATCTTGCACAGAAACTAGGTATTTGTTCTTTGGAAAAATGAAGACCATTTCTACTTCAAAAGGCATTTGAAAAATAATCGACAGTATAATTGTATCTCAGCAGAATGTCAAAGTTACAAGTCCAGGAATACCAACAAATGCTACTCTATTCCATTTAATAATAAAAATATTTACTCTTTATTATATATTCGCTACTATTTTCTGTTTACTGCCTATACAAACTAACATTCTTATTCATGTAAGTTTGTATGTGAATTGTTCCTTGTAGCAAGAACAGCCGGAAGACTTAAGAGCAGCACAGTCAATTTAATGCCACAGTTTATCAGAGCTGAGGAAAAAACATCAGGAAAATGAAAATAGGCAGGGCTACCCCTGCAGTAACTTGAAAAAAAAGCTGCAGGTCTGCACAAAAGTGGGCATATGTACACAAATACCAAAGGTCTTTTAGGGTAGATCTTCCAAGGCCTGAGAATTGTCTTGTTCCCATTGAATTTAAGCAAGTTTTGCTTAGATATCATTTAGTAACAAGTTGGTCAAATATACAACAGGAAAGATGCATTTACAAATTGTGCACAAAATAAAAGCTGTGCATTCTTTTTTATGGTAGAAAAGGGTAAATATGCACAGGTAGATTTTGGTACTGAAGTAGAAGGTAACTGAGGATTTTATGGCTGGTGATAACAGTAACTGTAGCAATAAACACCATTTCTAAGAATGTTTTATCTTTTGACTGTTACTGTGGCTGTAAACCGGTACATACTTGTATATACACCCATAAAAATCAGGATAGAAAAATACCTGCAAATATTTAAACTTTCCTAAATGGTGTCTGAACTCAGTTAAAAAGCCTCAGCACAAAATTCTATACAACTCTCATTTAATCTACCTTATGAACTCCTACCTGTTTCAAGAACTTCATATCAGGCACCAGTCTGTCATCTTAAACGTGATATATCATGAAGTTGTCTACAAACCTTTAACAAAAGCCAGATACTACCTGGCTATAGAAAGAGACCAAAACATATGGCATTCAAGGTATTTTCTATCAGATGGGCAGAGTTTAATATGGCTATGAAGTTATAATTCATTATTTAAATGAGTGACAATTGAGTGACAAATCATTATGGATGACATATTACACTGATTTAATGAGCTAAGAATCTTATCCCCTACCTATGCTAGCTAGTCTACTGCAAGAGAGAGCAATTTTCAGAAGTAATGTTTTCAAGTCTCTCTAGTATTGGAAAGAATATCAATACTGCTTTTAACAACAGTATTTCAGTAGACAGTTAGATTCAAACTAAATAGAAGGGCAAAACTTAGGGGGTATTTTATCTAAGCCCTCCTACACTGCCAAACAAGGCAAATTGGTTTTGATTTCTATGGCAATTTTAGATAAGAATTAGTAATACACCTAAACTTCACCACAGTATCACTAGCTTTGGAGCTAAAGAATTCTGCTGCTAATTATTTCTCTTAAAGCTTCTAGCTTCAATACCTCAAGATGCCTTCCGACATTAGACAACCTATTCACAATGCATACTTATTGTATACAGGAAGTCAAGCTGACTACAAATCTCTAAATAATGAAAAACAGCAAAATTTCTCTAGTCGTCTGCAATCTCTTCAATTTGCCTGTCTGCTATACAGCCATGTAAATATTCTATTAAAATACCCCAAATACAGTTACATTTAGCTTCTAAACCCTGAATCTTTTCTGCCAAATGTTAAACATGAGAGCAGAAGGTAATTGATTTACAGGCGTTTGCTGTGGGCCCCCCATGCTGCTTAATTCACAAATAACATCTCTTCAGCAAGCTGGCTGTCAAGAATAGCAAGCTCAGAAACACCCCAAGTAATTAAAAGTTGTTTTCCATCACAACTCACAGCACTGAATCTCACCACAAAAGCTTTCTGACTGATCCAAAGAGCCAAATGGGGCTTTCTTTGATCAGAAGTTATTTTCTCATCAGTCAAATCAACATTTCTTCATCACTTTTCAACATTCTCTTGCTATTGCCAACTAGTGAATTCTCAATATTTGAAAGCCCAAGTTGTCCTTGAGGTAATTTTGGCTCCTGCTAAAATATTTTCTTTATAATACCAAGGCTATCAGCTCCAGTTATTCCATATAGGAACAGCAACAACGCTGTTAATCACTGTATAGTGATTAACTAAATCAATTTAGTACTAGGTGGTGCAATCTGGGTTGATTAATAGGACAGAAACAGTCTAACTCCAGCATACAGATATTAGAACTGTTCAGCTTCATCCACAGCACAGCAGTACAGCAACACTTTCTTAATTCATAAAGCTTTCCTAACACAAAGTGAAACTCACAGTAAAAGTACTCAACTTGAGCCGTTTCTAACAGCAAAGTGAGAAGTGTTACAAACCAAGCAGTGACCATTATCACAGTCTAAGTCTCCCTACTACATATATTCCATACAACAGTCAGGAGAATGACTGACAAATAGTGAAGAAAGACATCGTAACAAGTGCTTGAATAAGGTGCAAAGTCCAACACTTAACATTGAACGCTAAAACACATTTATCCAATTCTAATATGTACCATACATAATGCCCCTGTATCTCCTATACAGGAGGAAAGAGAAGAGATCCAATGGCCAAAAAAGGAAGAGAGTAAGAGATTTTTATAGATGGCCCAAGTCAAAATATACCCAGTATAACAACAGTTTTAAAAATTGTAGAGTATTGATGATTGTGAAAGCTTTTCACATTAATAGTTAAAATAATTAATTCTTTTCTTAGCAAATAAAAAACTACAGATAATAGCTGAGATAATCAGTATACCAGCTGAACATCCCTTTAAGAACCATGTAAACATTCAATTTTCAGAGAAGAATAATTTAAATAAAAATTAATAGCTTGAGAAAAATAAGTTGCAGTTATTAATTTTTATTTTAAGAGGTCCACATTTTAAAGTTATGCTCTAGCAAAGGCAAAACGAGCCCATTTTGATTTGCCCTGAGGTGTCACGGCAAATTCTGCAAACACCCATGCAGATGCACTCTTCAGAAAAGAAGAGTGCTCTGTGTAGTTCATTACTACTTTTTTCTACATTAGCTCAACATTTGAACGCTTATGCCTCTAGTAAAATTGACTCTTGTAAGATCAGCTACTGCAATGCACACACTAGACTCAGTAATGCTGAATTACACTCATATTGTTGAATACTACAGGCTAGAAGCAATAGGTTATTTGCATTTTTAAAAACTGCAGAACAAGTCTATAGCATTTTTTGAATGCATGCTAATGTTGGGGTAGCTATAATGCATAGTACTGTATTTTAGTACAAGTGTGTGTAATAATTTATTTTCTACTTCTATGTATTATATTCTCATGGTTTTTATAACATTTTGTTGTAATAGTGGTTGTGATAGATCTTCAAAGTTATCTACTGCATACTAAATAAAGGTAAAAAAACAGCCTTAGATTTTAGTAGAGCTCAGAAACAACTGAGCTTCAATTTAAAGTAGCACTCTCTCAGACGTAAAAATATGCACAACACTCAGATGCAAAAATATGCAGAGTCAGCATGCAGAAGAGAAACTATTTTCCTTAAGTACTTGTATTTACTGTATTCAATCATTTACCATTTTATATGAAAGTTTCATTAATACCAAGTAACATACTTAGCAGCAAGCTTATAGTTTTCCAAATCCTTCTTTAAATGTGTGTTCTCAGTCTCCAGTTGCTGATTGCGGGTATATACACTCGGAACCAGTCCAGTATCTTTGGCTGTGAGCACACCTCGCTGAATCAGTTCATACCTAACAAAATAAACAGATATTTTATGCCATGTTCCTTATTTCACAGTTCACTGGTATTTCCCCTCCCATGCTTACATTTACATTAAAATCACAAAGGTATTTTCCAAGTCAAGGCAATTACACTTTTTTATAATCATTAAGAATTACCTATAGTACCCTCCCACTACAAGGGGCTCCGTTTTATCCTTTCCCATTCTAAGTTATAAACATATTGTCCCTAGCAGTCAAATGACATGCCATGCATAACACACTATTTCAATTTTAGCAACTGTGCTTTTCCCTCCTTTCTTCCAAATAACCTAAATAAAGCCCAATATAATAGTACCCAAACAACGCTTTAACCTTGATATACAGACACATTCCATTTAAAATATTCAAACAGACACAAGTTTTTTATGAGTTAAGACAAAGCTGGGGATAACCCAGTGAAATGATCTGATGAGGTACCTTACACATGGAATTCAGAGCTCACTTAGTAAAAATACTTCTTTCCATCTGTAAATATTTTCTAATAAGGAATACCATTTGTACAAGCATCATAATTTTCTAAAGAGCTCTTCACTGATGTTGCACACTAACTACATCAAATTAACTTGCCTTTTGACCACTGAAGACCATGTACTTCATAGAGCAAGCCAAAAATCTTAACCTTCTGGCAATGAAGTCTGTTCTGTTATAGTCTCGTACCTTTTGAGAACATTCTTAAATTGAGACATATCAACAAATACTCTAGCAGGTAATACAAGACACAGGCATTGCCACAATTTCAGTTTAGGCTTATTAAAGGGATTTCAATAAGGAGCAACTAAAGCACAGAAGTATCCTCCATATGTTGAGAGAAAGGCAATACTAGAAAGGATTCAAAGACAACTTAGATGAGACAACTATCACTGTACAAAAAATGCTTTTGCATAATCCTGCCTTTTGAAAAAACACCAAGATTTCACAAAATCTCTAAAGATTCAAACCTATACATCTGGATTTGAGATGCTGCTGTGCAAGGAGACATTGCCAAGGTGATTTCAGAATCTAGTATGTACACCTACACATATGAAATGTGTATTTCCTCATTTGCCTGTCTTGCAAAACAGGCAGGCAGCAACCTCAGCTGACACAAGCCTTTCAGATTCACTAAGGACAGAGGTGGTGCTCCATGAAGCCACACAGCACAGGTTCCGTGGAGCTGTAAATCATGGTAGATAAAGATGAGGCTCACAGTCCTTCCTGATGATACTGAGGGCTGCTGGAACATGTTCCAGGAACTTACAGAAGGAATAATATTCATATATTCGCCTTCTCAGAGAAAAATATATTGAATATGTACTTTCTGTTCCTCCAAGTAAAGCAAGAACAGCAGTCACTTGAAGTAGTAATTACACCAAGTGTTGTCTCCCCTCCTTGGACACAAGAAGTATGCTTCACAATAAGCACAGCATTTATAAATCAATAAAATGTTGCAGAAACAAGGAGGTTGGTAAAATAAGCTACTACGGACATAAAATTATGTATATAACTAGGCATTCTAAACTAATTATAAAACTATATAAAAATTTATAAAAATTTTATATAAAACTATATTTAAATCTAGCTATTTCAAGAGTTAGAATAAAGTAAGCCTCTTCATTCTTACTTGGAATCTTCCAAAAAATTAAAGGCAAATGTTAGAGGCATTTATGTCCACCTGACTTCCTATGGTAAGCTGCTTACCTGAGTGCTATGGTCCATTCAGGAGGGTTCATCCCTACAAATCAGTCTTATTCAGCCACCAGACAGTGATGGCATTTTCAAAGACTAAAGTGAGCGCATCCAAAACACAACTGATTCTATCATCACATTATTTCTGTAGTAGATTAGAGCAGTAATAGGTTTTAGTACCAAGGAGCTTAGTCATTTATTTCATAAACATTTACTGCATTTGTAATATTCCTATGGAAAATAGAGACACTTCTCTTTGAACATCAGTCAAATATTGTTTTGTCATTTAATGATAATAAAATATTAGGCAGAAGGGAAAAAAGATTTTTGTTTTTAAAAGTGCTCCAAGCAAGTTAATTATCAATGATCATTCTTGCATCATCTTATACTCTTAAGCTCTGCTTTTCTTACGTATTAGCAAATTATCCTTCTTGTTTTACTCAGAGTTTAAACATTCTTCTGAGGAGAAAGCAAAGAGATTGACATTACAGAAAAGACAATGTTTTTCATGGACTTATTTTGCACTTGAAAGCAATAAAACAATTCCTGAGCATTACTCTGCTTTTTTCATACATTATTTTTCTCCAGTTACAAGGTGGAATTCAAAATAGTTCTCCACTGTTATTCAAAAGGCCCAAACTGAGATCATTAAGGATGATACATTCACGGTTATTGGCTAGATGAAAATAACTCCCGTTTCCCACTATCTGAAATAGGCAAAGGAATAACTACCACAGCCAGCCTCATCAGTGTCACCTACTCTATTTCTATTTCTACTCTAGTTCTATTTCCTGCAAGACTCAGAAGAAACCTCAAATGCATCTAAGGGTCACAGGAGTATCAGTCCCACTGACCTCTCCACTGATAGAACTTGATAGAATTACAAGCAGGTACTTTTCCAATCGCAGAAATTGTTTGCAAGTCATCTCTCCTACAACCTGCATCTCCTTTTCCTTTCATGCCCAGACCTATCTGCTGCTTTGTAAAGACTCAGAGTAGTGTAATAAAGTTTTCTCCTTTCTGGAAGCTGTCTTCCTTTTGCCTGGCAGCCACTACGAGAATCAGCAGTTCAACCTAACACTTGAAATTTCTTGCTTTTTTCTACCTACCTGACTCAGGGTAAGGACCAACAACAATCTAGTCTGACATACTTGATTTTTCCAGGCAGCTACACTATTGCTAAGTATGCTGGTTATACCCGCTAGGCACCTAGAATTATCATGGAATCAAAAACATAACACCAGCCTTCAAAAAGGCTTCAGTAATACCTTCAATCTATATCCTTCTTTTGCTAGAATGCCCTAACTCCATTTCATGAAATCTATCACTTTCTGTACAAAGACATATCAGAGGGGATAATGGATGAGGTGAGCCTCCAGCAGAGCTAGGAATCTTGAAAGACAATTTTAATGAGATACAACCGATCCCCATAAATCCATCATGCTCTAGTCTAAGAATACAACTAATGAGTGTTTTTATGCATGCAGTCGAAATGGAGTAGAAAGCTATACAACAAGAATTCACTGTGATATTTCACAACAATTCATCAAACTAGTCATGTAGAAATTGAATATACCTAGCCAAGTGCCAGATAATTTTTCTTCTCCCTTATTTCTGGTATATAGGGGAATTATGATTCCAAAACAGATGGCCGTCTATGATTTTAACACCACAACCCAGCACAAACTGAATTAAACACTGCATTGACTTCAAGACTAAGCTCTAAATGAGTCAGGTTGCAGAGTGGCCCTCCAATTAGCTGTTTCATAGCTCAGGACAAGCCTTCATTGAGGTGTAACTCACTGAAAAGCATTTTGGGATTAAGACTTCTTACCAAAAGCTACTTCAACTGATAACCTCTTAATCTCAAGAGAAGGCCAAGAAAGAGCACAGAAAATAAACTGCCTTTTCACTGTAGGGTATTCTTCCAATCTATTATTATGGCATGTAAGTAGAAAGATGATATTATTATGCTGAGCTTGCTCTGTAGACAAGCAACTTTTGCAGAATTAGATTAAGACACAAAGGATCCAAATTTCAGCCTACTGTGGCATCTAACATATTTCCCATTAAATAACTGCAGAAACAATAGTTTTCAAGGGAAAACTTTCATTTATAAATATGTTAGAGATTGCTCAATATTAGAAAACCTTGTTTGCTCCTGATCTGAACTATACAAGTGCATACTACAGTCTCAAGGGCTCAAAGTTCATGCTGATAATATGCAGAGATGTCTAGATAACAAGCATCACAAAAGAGAAATGCATCTTTTTAATTACTTCCCAAAAGACACCATCATCTTACCCTTCCACACACCTTATCTTTGTAGATACCCACTTTGGATGATGCCTAGCACTAGGAGCAGCACAGTAAGAACACTCAAGTTTTCTGAAGCAAACTAACTTCCTTAATTTGTGGTTCCAATCTAAGAACTGAATTTGTGTTTGGATAATGCTGTTCAAGAACTAATAATATTTTCTCTCCGGATTTATGAATTCAAAGCATATCATGCATTAATGTGTCTACATGATTTCCACATAAGAGGACCACTGGAAGCTTAAGTCTATTTCAAATACACAGGTCCACAAAAAATGCTATGAAAGCTTAAATTCTGTGATTTTTTCTTAATTTCTGCAAAGAAAAATTTATAATGGATCTACCTCTATACTCTAAGGCCACGTGCAAGGAGATGACTTAGTAGCTTAGCCTCATGTCTGGCTAACACAAATATGACATACCTTGCATAAGCATGTAAGCTCATTCATGGTTTAAAACACATTTAAATGCTTCAAAGTGTTTGTTACCAGAGTCTGCCAATCTCCTTGTACTCAGATTTAAACCTAGCCAGGTCTCTGGGAACACTTAGCTAGAAATCACCAGTCAAGTTTACCAGCTCAACACAGTGATAACTCCATACATGTGTGTCAACAGCAAATGATTCATCTGCTCATCCAACTGACAACATGCTGCCAGCAGCAGTGAGCTCTGTGGGATTATGGGGACTGACGGATACATAAATTTACAGTTGATCAGCCCTTGCACTTCATACTCTAGAGCTGTCAAACCAGTGCCTTTAATAAGCAATAAAAGCCCTAGAGCCCTTGCACATCAAAGGAATAGGAAAATATAATGGTATGACAGATATTCTAAAAATATCTTAAGTTTTATTTTACATTCCATGGTGTAAGTGGCAGAAAAATAGTAGTCTGTGTAAAAAACTAAGCCGCTGAAAAAACCCAGCAAGTGTGACGAAATTCATTATAACAGAAAGAATAGGTTTGTCTTAGCACAGAATGTGATCAAACTATGACTATACAGGTAGACAGAATACTTGAATAGAGTCAGTTTTCTTAAACTCTGGAATAAACACAGATAATTTGGTCCCATTTAAGTGGCCTTTAGCTCCAAGACAGATAATTACATCAAATCAAGCCTTTTGATAAGTTATCTCTATATTAATTTCTCATTTGAAATTCCATTAGTACTTGATCTCCACAGCATGAGTGCAAGACAGTCCCTATATATAATGAGGAACCTGAGTACACTCATCTGCTCTCATTAATATTGTAAATTATATATTTCAAACTAACATGAAACATTTTGAAATGAGGCATTAGCACAGAGAAGTCTTAATACAATAAGATTAGATCCTGACATGCTGAGCTTGTGTAACGCTCCTTAAGTTAAAACTATTAGCTATTTAAGAAGAAATATTTGTATAACTAAGGATTTAGAAGACAGACCCTCATAAGACATCCTCTTACTCTGTTAATTTTAATTTTACATTGGTATAAATTCAAACAGTAACTTCTTCCAAGAAAGCTGCAGTTTCATGTAGGGGTTGCAGTTTATATCATAGTTAATATCTGTATCCATAAAATCTTCTCAAACTTTATGCTACATATGTAGCCTTCATAAAAAGATAGAACTATAGCATTCTATAGGAGTGTCCTAGCCGCATGGTTACTACGTAAAAAAATTATTATTAATTCCAGAGGCAATGGCCCAACTGGTAATCCCTACACTAAACACAACCTGAACCTTATAGCCAGCATCAATGACTAGAGAATCCTTCTAAAGATTAGAGACTTCGAGGTTTAAACATGTTTCAATAGAAAAGCTGAAGCTATTTCTACCTTTTTAAACTTCCTAATTTCAGAAGGTTTGGTAATTAATCTCCCAAAGCCTAAATCCAAAACTATACTTGTTTAAAGACCAACTACAAAGTATTTCAAACAAAAAAGTATTGTCACTTTTTAGCACCTTTCCAAAGTAACTGATTCAAAGAAAGTTTGTAACTGAAAATATTTCAGTAGAACTTTATGATAAAGTTCATTATTTTGCTATGTAATAATACATTTCAGTTTGAGCCCACAGTATTTCTTCTTCTATTATTAGAAAGTATATGTAAACTTGTAGATGTTCCTATACAAAGAAAGGTGATGGAAGTCGTATATATAGGTGTGGATGTAGTTTAAGCTCTTGCATAAAGCACTAACAAAATCTCCTTAGCTTATAAAAACAGGGAAAAATGAAACAAGAAAAGCACAGGAGTTTACTCTGATTATAGGATGAATTACATTTAAAAAAATCTCAAGCTGTTCTAATCTATTCTGATTGACATTTAAGTTAAATTCCAAAAACTGCACACCTATTCTACCCCAAAACGTAAAGCCTCTTCATGTATTTGTGGACATGAATCACAAAAGAGCACAATCCAACGTTTAAGCATCCATATTTTAGATAGACAAGCATATTTTCTTAGCACTGATGAAGCAAAACATTGGTCATTTTGGATTGAGCTCCTCTCACCAAATAACGCCATCTGCGCTGGTGATTGTATCTCTGGTCACCAGGGAAGAGGACAAAATTTAGACATTTAAGGCCTGAACTATAGTCATCTCAGACTTCCTTTATTACTAGTGGAGATAAACCCTCATTTTTAGGATGTAACTTACCTTAATTTCATCTTAAAGGAGATGAAAAGTGAAATTAAATGATCCTTCACAGAAGTGACAGCAGCTCCTTGGATTCAGCTTTTTGGAAAATGTGACCTCAACATAATAAATCATTTCCATACTTATACTTGCGACACATTTATCTTTTTGGTAAAACACTTTGAGTTGTACTCAAAGTTTTCTTGAAAGCTATCTTTATATATTTGAATCCTGAGCATCTACTAGCTAATTCTCAAGGACAGTCACATGAAATATTTTACCATTCACTCTGGAAGCAATCCAGGGTCCTGGACATTCCCAGTCTGACCAGGAAGTTGCAAAGGAAGTCATCCACTGCTCCAGGTACTTCAGACACAGATTTCTCACATGACAGAACTGATTGTGTTGCCTGAAAATAAAAATTTGATATTTGTTATTAAACTTAACAAGGAATTGCAGGTATCATTACTTCTGCCATCTAAAATCAGATCTATTAGAGCAGAGCTGAACACTGCCCTTGCCTTCATGCATCAGAACTGCAGTCACCAATCCAGTACATCCTAGTGACAAGGCCTGTGGACAGTTTAAGAGAAATGACTCTAGATGATCTGATTTAAACAAGCACGCTCCTTCTGACAATCTGATAGGTACTCAAAACTACTTAACTCATGATTATTTGACATGGAGCAGAGAGAAAGTGTTACTTCTACTCCTGCATAGCTCAGCAACCTTCAAAATCATTGATGAGTAAACGCTACCTCAGTAAATGAAAGATGCAGCACTCCAAGGCAATAGAAAGGGGGCTTATATTCTTTTTATAAGGACACCTGTGCTACAGAATTAAAGAGCTGCAGCTCCCTCAGACTAACTTCAAAAATCTCACAAAGACTGTTTCTCCCTTTTCTTACATCCATCTGCAGTCACAGAATGAAGCTGTCAGACAACACTGCTACAAGTACTAGCAGAATGCAGATGGTGCACGAAGGCCTCACTCAGCTGCTGCGGTGCCATCAAGACAGACAGCTATTCAGAGATCAGTGCATGGGTCAAGGACAGCTGCCAAAATCAGAAGCAAAACAAGACACAGCAATGTTACTAAACAGAGAAAAATCCCTTTCAGAGACTGCTGTTTCCATGAAAGTTTTTCCTCTCCCAAACCTATGCAGTGCATAACGTGCTATCAAGCTCTCAGCAAGGCCTCCAGAGTTAAAAGAAGTTACAAGACAGCCAGATGAGATTCTGCTCTGACCTGGCACCTAAAGAGATGGCCCCAAGTCATTCAGGCTTCACATGGATTAAACAATATACCTAGTAAAGCCTCACAATTTATGAACAACACATAGGACTCAAAGTCATAAGGCACTGGCTCCACAACAGGGGCCATTAAGATACTCCAGTGCACATTACATCAAACCACTTGGCGTACTGCTAGAAGAAACTATGATACTATGATTGTGTGCTACGCATTGGTTAACAACAACACACTCCAGAGAGGCAGAAAACATTTCTACACGTTCCTTTCTTGTCCTAATTCAATACAAGAAAACCAGAAAAATATCTGAGATTCAAGCAAGACATGCTAAAGGCAGTAACTGCAAGTTTTCTGTAAAATCCACTTAAAGCATCTGTGGGCCAGGAATTTCTGATAACTCTATCTGTACCTTATTCACATCCTTACCCAGAGCCCTACCAATACAACTGCAGAAATTACCTGGATATGAAGGCATTTCTCTCGATAAAACACAGCATTCCACGTACTGGAAAACCCCATAGCCATTTTATATAATACATAAAACAATGTTTAATCCAAACAATCCATATAATAAACAGAATGAATTACACATAAAGGCCAAGTCCAGCAGCACCTTTATGAAAAATGTCAAATGCAATGAAATATTTAGCCTATTTCCATTACTAGAGATACTGTGCATTAGGCAGTCTATTCTCTAATTGTGGCAATAGAGGAGCCATATAGAGTACATCTGCAGACACAGCTTCATTCCTTCTACACCCCTGTTCTGCCTTTATTTTAAGGGAGGCAAATGCCTAATATTCCTGCTGTAATTTCCCAACATCTATAAAGCTCATCTTCAGAAATGGCACAGCTTGATTTCCCTTAAAAAAAAAATCAAGTAAATTTACTTGATTCATGCAAAAGAGAATTTATTAGCTACACCCTAGCACTGATAGTCATTTCAGGAACTGAAACTTTTAACAAGAAAAAGGATATGCAAAAATGAGTGCAATGAGTGCAAGGTGGTTTTTCTTTTGTTTGCTTTTTTAATCATCATGGTCACCTATAAATCAAATGAACATAACAATATAAAGGCTAATGACAGGTAATTCAACTTCAGAATGTCATTTGGCATATTAATAAAGGTCCTGGAAGGAAATATAATAGCTTTATCTACTGAATAAAGTCATTCAGTCCATTTCTTTTTTTTTTTTCCCCAGAAGTTGTAAATATAAATTAAAAGAGCTAGCCAGAGAATACTCCTCAGAAATCTTGAGTGAAAAATCCACCAAAAATAGCCCTGCAAGAGTACTCACCATTACTCTGCTTGCTTCATCTACTTCAAAAGATAGTTGATACAAAATGAATAGGTGGGGAAGAAAATAAGACTGCTGCTGAAAATGCCAGATTTTCAGCCAAAACCCATGTGGAGACACTAATTTAAAGGGTCAAAATTCCTGGACATAAGCTACAGTACATCTGATACCATTAAACTCTTCACTGGCAAGCAAAATATTTAGCAAATATACAATTAATATTGCAAAAGTATAAGCAAACTGCTTGCAACATAGGGAAAGAAATGCTTGGGCAACTCTTAAGTCTCAGGATAGAATCCATTAATTTCCCCTGAGAAGCATTCCAATCTTCACAATACATTTTTCCCCCATCCCTGAGACAGTTCAGATCTTACCTTACAATTAGTTACATGTTAGCTCATCAAAGGCTTGCTTGCCTTCCACCCAGATAAATGACTTAAATATACATCAGTAACATAATTAGTATGAGGCTTTGAAGCACATGGATAGTATCTTAGACTTCTATCACCGAGATGAACCAAAACACAAAATTTTTGTTCAATGACTTATCTTAATATGTACTTTTATACACACTTTGAACAGCAGTGTCAATGATACTTCACCAGTTCCAGTAGAAGACAATATATATCTTTTCTTTGGATCTCTGTCAGCTCAAGATTTTCCTTTACCTGGAAAGTTTCTTGTAACGTATTTTAAAATAACTAATATTTAAGGTCGCTACACAGTCATATAAATAAAAAAGTCATTTTAGAACATTTAGACATTTAGAAAACACAGCTCTACCACATGCATTTCCCTGCTGTGAGCCAAAAATCCTGCACTGTATCAAGTAATCTTCAGGTAAGGGAGCCTTACCAAATTTCTTAAAGGCCACTAGTTCCACTACGCCCAGGTAGAGACCCAGAGGGAAAGAAAATTAGTCCTGGTATCTCCTTTAGGAATGTAACTATACACTTGTTTTATTATTCCACAGAATAATGAATAGTACCACCTCTCCATTTGTAGAGGAAATAAAGAAACTATGGTTTCAAGTATCTACAATTTCTAAATAGAGTATGTGTATTTGGTAAATTGATCACAATATGTCTGGATCTTACTTGATCTCTCCATCTGAGTTTCCTTCCCTACTTAATTTCATTTCTGAATGAAAAGATTTGCATCTACTATTGAAATGCAATCTTCGGTATAGAATTAGGTAAACAAATTACTATGATCAGCAAATACACACAATGATCACTCCAAATTTTATGCAGCTGTTCAATAGCACAGCTATTCTATGATATAATTATTAGCTAATTTAAAAATCTAACCAACCTCGAGGTTGGTATTTGGTACTTAGACAACAGACTTTCTACTGCACTTCAGCTCAGCATTGCGGTATTCATTTATGGAAACAGTATTAAGTCACAAAAAATATTTGCCCCAGAATTTTTTTCAGTAATTAAGCATCAAAAAAAAAACCTAGTCAAAAATCTTACAAAAATACAGTGAATAGTAATGAAAGATATCAAGCTACTATCAAGTGTATTACACCACTTTTTCCTCTCATGTGTATAATGCTGAAAATACAATTTAAATGCTGAAATTAGGAAAAAGGAAAATCTCCAGGTAATGAGTCAAGAATCAAAAAGACTGTTATCAGCATCAGCACAAAGTCTAAGTTAATTTTAGTTTATCCACACATCTTCCATTTTAAGAAAGGCAAAACTTGCTTCACTTGTATAAAATAGAATATATTCTAGCATAGCATTTCATATCACTCAATAAAACTAAAATTACAGCACACTTAAAACATTAGCTAGCTATGCCACCATCAAAAGATTTATAGTAATAAGTTAATAACGTCCCTCCTTGTTTGACTATTTATTTTGATATCAATTTGCAGATATAACAGGGGAAATTTCCTCTTTGCTAACCCCAATAAATGCTGAACATTAAATATTCCCTTTACTTGACTAGCATTAAGCATATTCAGTTTTAAAAACTTATTAGAAGCTTGTCATTAATTTTCATGAAGACTTGGTTTTAAAAACAAAGAGACTCAGTTTTCAAAGTTTTAAATAAAATACTGATCTGTTGCTATGCACTGGTACAGAAAAAAATGCATGTTGTCTCCATTCTGAAGTTGAAAATAATTTGTATGTTTAACTTTTTATTAATCATTTCCTTTTGCAAAACAAGATAGACTACAAAAATAGCTTACTGATTACTCTTAAGACAGATATAAAAAACACTGGAGGGAGAAGTACTTTTCCATTAGATTCTTATAAGCTGACAAAATGAAGTAAATCATGTTTTGGAAAATACAGTAAAATGATCCCATTGTGCAACTCAGAACTATTAAATGACTGTTTAGAAATCAAACTGTAAATGAGACGTACTCAAAACTATTGCTAAGAGTGAATTGCTAAGTTTAACCAAGTAACAATCCATTATGTACTTTATTATCCAAATAATCTTTTTCAGTAACATATTCAAAAACAGGCTTCTGCAAGTCTTCAACAGATAGAGTTCTTTTGCTGAGTCAGGAAACCACAATACCATTCTATCTATTGCTAATCCTAAAATAAGGATATATTTCAATGACATTTTTAAATAGTATTTCTGTATACTTATATATTTCAAATATTATATGTGCATGGAATACATCAGATGAAAAATAAAGCAACATCAAAGGTAGGATGAAATATAGCAAATATACATCACTTCCACTACTTTTACACTTTTAAGCATCTGAAAATGAGAAATAACCCAGTAGCCAATAACATATAAGTTTCAAGACAATGAAAACAATTCACTTAAAGACTTAAGGCTTAAAATCTAGAGTTCTTACTAAAATTTGGGCATCTTCAGCCTGCTCTTGAATAGTCCGCAGGGCCCTTGGCAGATCCTCATCACCCTCCTGAATACTGAATTCATCATCCGCTGGTACCTAAAGGGAAAAATTTAAAAAGTACAATCATCATATCAATATATTTAAATTTTCTTTTAAAAATAGCTGTCCCCACTCCTAATACAACTGCTGAGAACAATCTCACTAAAAAATATGTATTTCATCATATTTAAATAAAGATACAGGTATTCTGAGACACCTGACTAGAAATATTTTACCTTTAATAAGCACTCCCTCCTCAAATTAAGAAAAAAATCAACTGACAGTAAACTTTTCTTAGGTTACTCAGAGCATTATTACATTTCACTGAAGAAATTTAGGTCATTCCTTCTAGGATTTTTTTTCAGACAGATTCACTGCAAGGAAAGAATGAAATATGAACATAACAGACATCACTTCAGATCATCACTTGAGTAAATTACCTCTTCATACTGACAATCGTCTTCAGAGTCATCCGTTATAGTAACTTCTGGAGATTTGGTTAAGTTTGAAACAGCTGATGGATTTGATGTGTTTCAGCTTAGAATAATATATTATAAATCAGCTATCCTCAAGTCAGTAGCAATCATTTTGTCCCTTATTCTTTATGAAGTCAGATTTCACATTATCCAGGCTTCCCTCAGGCCTTTAAATGAACATGGACTACTCCCAGGAAAGCTAGGTCTGTGCATCTAAAGGCAGAATTTAGATTCAAACTTTTCCTGGCAGATTTAAATATCATTGAAATAAACATAAGTAAATAGCCAAAGTCAGAAGTTGAGCACTCTTCTGAACTGAACAGTGGGCCAAGTTCTGCCTATACTTACCCCAGGAGTTTCAGTGCACTGGGACTTCCACAGTCCTTAAGCCTCTAAGTATAGACAGTTTTGTGCTCTCAGAGGCAACTGGGATCAAATTCAACAAGTATCTGAGATGAAACACTATATAGGCTGAATACTAGAAGATCATTTCCTGAAACTGTGCAGCAAAGCAGCAATTAAAACATGCACAATAAAAAAATTCTGAAGTGTTAAAAAGTCATTGACCATTATAGAAAGTTCCTCCAGAAAGGGGAAAGTATAACCAAATAAATATTTCTCAGCCCTAAAGGGCATTTCTCAGCCCTTTAAGCTATAATAAGTGTTTTTAGTAAGGTACACTGTAGACTGCTTCCCTAGAAAATCTGCTACCCTACAGACAACCCATGGCAATAAACTGGAAATCAGTTTTTGCAGAAAAGTTGCAATTCATTACTTCAAACATCAATTTTAAATGGTAAATTCTTATGTAAGAGGAATTGAAACAAAGCAAAATATAGATGCACAATTTTGCAGCTTTGCATCAAGCTTCTCCCACCTGCATCCTTCCTCCACAAATACAGAACACGCATCAACAAAACTATCTGTTAAATTGCACTCTTCAAAGGTTAACAGCTCAAGATCATATCCTGAAAAGGATAACGACAGCTTTATTTCCAGAGATGTCAGGTTTGAGATAAAAGCTGGAGACATCATTCTCTTGTAAACTAAAAAACAATAGGGAAGTTGCAGGCGAGTAAATTCATGATTTTCAGTCCAAACACATCTGTATACTTCCAACACTATGATTACACCACACATTTAACAATAAAATTATATTCACAAGCTGGCGAATTGTATGAGCTTCTTAGGAACATCCTATATAGGCTTAATACATGGAAACAAATGCCTGTAATAACATACATCCCAAAATTTTCATGTTTAACAACTGCATCACAGATCACAAACACAGAAGCAGCTCTAAGTCACACGCTCTTTGCACTTCAAACATCTCCCTGTGTAAAAGCTGCACTTTCTAACTTGGCTGACTCTAGAATGTTTAATTCTCAAAAGAATTAAAACTATTTCCATAAAGCCAGAGCGAGTAAAGTTTCTACACTGTTGTATTAAGAGCTTAATAACCTGGCCATCCTCAAGGCCTTGTCTTCTCATTATTAGACATATTCATTTCACTGAAACAGCTAATACAGAGGCAGGATGGGGCTTTCCACTCCAAACCTGAGCTCTTAAGACCGTTTTTCCCTCACAAGCAAGGATTCAATCGCCACGGTGCTCCTGGTGCTCCGGCCGGGGTGCCCATTACCACCACCACACACCAAGCCCAGGGGGAGGACAAGGAGAGAGAGCAGCGCTGAGGAGACCGAGGGTGGGGGCAGCAGCCAGACCACCCGAGACTAAACTGAGCCTTATGAGGGGGAGGATAAGGAGGAGGAAGAGGCGGAGAAGGGGGAGAGGAGGATACTGTGCAGGCAGAAGGCCGCCTCGGTGCTGGCAGCCACCGCCGCCTCCTCCATGGCCGCTCTTTAACCGCCGTCGCGTCGACCGTTGCTAAGAGGGGCCGGGGGCTCTCGCGAGAACTCGCGCTCCGTCGCCATAGCAACTGCCGCGCGCGCCAACGGCCGCCGTTGCGCGGTGGGAGGGTGGGGCGGGAGCGCGCCCTCAGCAGCGGCCCGCGGTATTCCCTAGGTGTGGAAGGAGGCCGCGCACCCTCCGTTTGAGACCGAGCTTTCAGCTCGGGGGAGGTTTGAGGGTGAGGTAGTGCTTTTACTCACAAGGTTAAAAATCCATGTATAAAATAATCTCCAAAAAATCAGAGCTTTAAAAAGTATGAAATACATACATACATACTAGAAATACATACTAGAAATACATAATGCAATCCAAACTTTATCCTTCCCCAAAATGCAGGTGCAGCCCTGCAAGTAGACACAGTAGCTCTTAACATAGCATTTTCTGCATAGGTGCCACACAGGGCTGCCTCACACCTCCACCTGCAGAGCCAAATTCAAGCGAGACAGCCCCACTTGAACACTACCCTTGGGCCATGGTCACTGCACTACTTCATACCCCATTCCCGTTCACTTCTCCCCAGGGCAGGTTTTACCTATCAGGGTTTGAATGCTACAGGGTTGAAGAGTTGGAGGGCTAGCACTGACAGGCCTTTCTTCTGGCCTTGCATTTATTTTCTGCAAGAATCACACATGTAACCAAAACAAAAAGGCCTTTCTTCTATATTTTTCCCCACCTAAAAGAGCAGTACTAACTCAACTCAGCTATCATGTCCCAAATTCCCCCTCCAAATTTTCTCCAAAGCTTCTCTACCTCATTTGCTTAAGAAAACACCTGGTATCTACAATTCAAGACCACTTAAGCAAGCTGAGAGAAAGTCCAGCTAAGAGCTTTGAGAAAAGATTAGGGAACACATAATGGAGAAGGGATCTCAGGCTTGTAGGTTTATCAAAGAAATAACTAGAGCTTGATCAAAATGCACAGGTAACAAATTTGATGAGAAAGTCCAGGCAAAGGTACACTCAAACACAGAGTAGAAACAAAATAAGTTACGTCTAAAAACAAAGAGCAAGCTTAACAGTGAGAAAAAGTAACTTTTAGACTGACATCCTAGTATTACTAAAGGTTTTTTAAGCAATGAGAGAGTTCTTCATTAAAGCCACTTTTGCATTGACTCCAGTTAATTCAGGGATATTCTATGCCCTACGAATTTTCAGAAAGGACAGATAGTCTTTGCAATGGTACCTTCTAACCTTAGAAAGTATGGGAAAAGCTCCCCAGCTCTATAATGGGGAGACTTGCAAATATGCTAGAGGGCTGGTGGCTTTTATATGTCTTTAAAGAAGACTCAGATTGCCACCAATTGTATTTTCCAAAGCTTTAAGCCTTTGCTTGGAAACAGCACAGGCTTTAACAACCACAAACCCAAGTGTGTTGCCCCACCATGACTATATCAACGACCTGACAGTACAGTGGTTTTCCTTCAAAATACACCACAAGCCACCCTGTTTTTCTCCTGCCATAAACGCATCAGATTTGGTTATTGCTGTACTGATTGCTGAACACAAACTTCTCCCTGCTCTGTAACACCATAATCCTGAGTTATAAGCAATTATCTTCTCCCCCAAGAGCAATCACCAGTGCTGTTACCGCATCTCTTAGTTTCTCATGACAAGCAGAAGCAGTGTCTGTGGTAGCTTCAGCTTTTCATTAGGCTGTTTACTTCACACAGACCAAAGACCAATCTATACACCCTAGCACTGTATAGTCCAGATAAATTACATCATTTGTAGATGCTTCATCAAAAACTGGGTAGACTAGATCACTCCAGACACACTGTGCTTTCTCCCAAGCCTTAAGGGCCAGATACTGTTACACTTTATTCCACTGCCTGAAGGAACATGAGACTGTGCTCTCACTGAGAGCAAATTATCCCCCCTACAGCAATCAGCAATCTCATTGATGACAATTCTGACAATTGCCATAACAAAACCTAAACATCCAAGCTACTTTCAGCAAACCTTTCACTTCTCTGCAGGAAAATATCCAAAGAAATTCAGTTCACAGGCTCCATCACACCAGACAAGCAGCCAAAAATTACCTGCTCCATTAACTTCTACACACCCGTTTTTGACTGCTCTTCAGCACAGTTCTGGGGTTACAGGATAAGGATATATAAACTTAGTTTTTTGAATGAGTTCAGCGTGTGGCCTTCACAAGAACATGGACATCACAGGGACGGTGAAAGGGCCACAGTCCCCTCGATCACAGCAGCGCCTGGGCCCACAGCCTGAAGTTGGAATGAGCTGGCAAACATCTTGCTCCAACTTCTGCTGTGCCATCTGGCTTCCAGTTAAGCAACTGACATTAAACATCTTTTCTCCATATTACCATCTGGCAGCTGCTTGTACAACAGAGGAACACACGGAATTTGGCTAACAGTTATCCTAAGAATCACATCAAGGATACTTGCACACACATGAGAGTATGGTACCAAAAGAGTTTGGAGGAAGTTTCTTTAGGTGACAGCCCTGCACTCCCAGTATTATGGAACAAGAAATTACATCCCAGATTGTGAGGTTCTAAGTACAACCTGAGGACATGCTATATGAAGGGAACAAATTAACTGCAATGCAAAGTCTTAACACCTGATATTTTGCATTTCTTAACTTTACAAAGCTCCTGCGGAAGATCCTAAAATGGTGATAACACAGATTTATCCGGGATGAGATTATTGTATGCAACTTGGTTGTTCTTGAGCAGTATCAAAATTTTGCTATCCTAGGCAAAATAGGATGCCCACTCTTCAAGAGAGCAGTAGCTCCCACCCCCCTCTTGCTGCAGTAATGGTGTATGCCAAAGGTAGTTTCAATAAAACTAAGTTGATCTCAAATATTAGAAGTATTTTGTTTCTACTTGACCCTGCAGAACAGCATTCAATGTATAAGTTTCACTACATTTCCAGGTATCTCTACAGCTTAGATCTAGGATAAGCAAGTAGTTGAAAAGCAACATCGAGTTGAAATATTGTATATTATGGAAAAAAAGTCAATTTCCACATGTATCAGCACATCTTCTGGTTTTCACTTTTCTGGACAGGCAATTTGCTGAAAGCATAACTAGCACTGTCTGAAATACTAGTCATACTATTCAGCACGTAATCCAAAAGCCTTTTTCTTTGATGAATTTTTAAAATTTAGCCCGGCTTTGGTTTCCCATGCAAACCTCTTTCACACAGAACATATAAGCTGCAGTTCTGCCAGCAGGAGCAAAAGCCTGCAGTGTTTTAGCTCCCTATTCCTTTACACACAAATAGGGACTGAACAGTCCAACACCATCAATAACAGGAGCATAGTTGCAGTGTGACCACAATTCAGTCTTTAGAGGGCACAGGACTATTTTACACTGCAGGCACTGGAATTATAATATACACAGCCTAGTCAGTGCTCTATCATGTATAATAAAAGAGTTAGTCTACCCCTGCTGATGCTGCTGTTTGAGAACTGCAGCCTCCACATCTTTTGCTGTTGTTGCCTTTGAAAATTCCCAGGAGAACTGGGCAGATGGTGCATTTTGGTTGCCCATGTACTAGATCAGGAGCATTTCTGCATCACAGACGAGAATAAATCGTGCTAAGGGAGAGGAGATTTGACACAGTCACTTTAGAAGTGTAACTCACCCATGCTCTCTCTAAGTTTGTTTTATGTTACTGTTTTATGAATACAAAGTCATTTTATGCAGCTTACAGGAATTAAAGATCACCTATTCCTTATAATTAAGGACATTACATATTTTCTTTGAAATTAAGTGTAATAAATATACTTTTCAAATTCAGGTAGCTGCCTACTAAGCCGCACTCCTGTAAGTTAAATAAGTGGTTTTTAAACAGTGAGACAGTTGTCAAGAGGAAACATCTTAAATACAGAGATGCAGCAAAATTCTGTGCTGCCCTAAATTGTGCTTAGCAATAGCGACAAGCTAAAAATAAAGGGGACACAACAGAAAGCTAGGGAAAAAAAATGATGGTTTCATGATACTTTCCATACTGGCCTGTAATTCACTATCTGATACCCAGGTAACATTTCCCTCTTGGAGGTCCAAGCCATACACTGAATGGGCAAAATTTGCTGGTTTCTTGCTGCCCTGCTTCTCCCCTGCTTGAATTGTGTTCATTTTTAGAGGGAAAGCGCATTCGCATGCACACAGAGATCTGGCATGACTACATTTTCTGTCAAAAACAATTCAATATAAACAAATTTATTCAACAAGAAATACATAACCTATTCAAAAATATTAGCTCCTTCAACAAAACCATTTCATCTGTCCTCATTACTGGCCAGGAGCACCTGCTGAGTGGTAGCCAAAAGCAACACTTTATAACCAGAATATTTAGCCAAGCCTTCACTAAGAGCTCACAGCTAGTTGTGCTGCTGGAGACTGAGGATGGAATTTTAATTTTCTCTATACCATTTGGCTTGTTCTTAGTGCTTGGTCATTTGCTGATACATAAGATGGGGAAAATATATGAAATATGTCCAGTCCTCCAACTCCATTTGAACATCTCACCTGAGAGAGGCATCAATGTACACTGGCTTCTGTACATTGGTATAAACCAGAGGCTGAAAGTCTTTACAGGGCCTTTTTGGTTTGCTTTTTTACTAGCAGACATAGAACTTCTGGCAACGACTCTAAGAATCCAATATTTTGTATAGAGGAGGATGATTTTTAGTCTTATATCCAATATTGGTGGTGAGTCTGGGTTACAACTTGGCAAGTGGCTGAAGCATTACGTGATTTCCCGTTTTACCTCTCTGATGAAAGCCAGAGTACAGTATTGACACAATATACTTAAATGTCAAAGTGTTGCTTTGTAGCTTTGCAATATTTTCAGTTTAAATATTGAAATGTCACCAAAGTCTAAAAAAAACCAGTGTTTTTAAAGTACATGGCTTTTACTTCCCTGTTTATAGCACAGCCATAACTGAGTGCCAGGCCATTAGTTCAT